CACACACACATGCACACACACAAGGATTACAGCAGGACCACGCAAATGTAGGGCTACACACATACACACACACACACACACACACACTCTCACACGCACACACATACACATGCACACTCACACACACACACACATACACACGCTCTCTCACACATACAGGCGCACAAGTTCTCTCTCTCTCACACACGCATACATACACACACACTCACACACGCTGTCTCACACACACATGCGCACAAGTTCTCTCTCACACACATGCATGCGCACACACAAATACATACACACGCACGCACATGCACACACACAAACACGCACGCATGCACACACACACACTGTTACTCACACACATAAATGCACACACACACACACACATACACAAACACACACTCTCACTGGCACACACACACTCTCTATTTCTTACACACACACACACAGACACTCTCTCACACGCACGCACAAACGCACACACACACACTCTCTCTCTTTCTCACACACACACACACACACGCCCACAAGTTCTCTCACACACACACACACTTGCACACACACACTCACACACGTAGAAACACACACACACACACACACACACACGCATACACTCACACACAAGCACATACGCACACACAGACACAACACTCTCTTTCACAAATTTACACACACACACGCATATACAAACTCATTCACACATACACAAACTCACTCACACACACACACACACACACACACACACACACACAGCTGTGGTTGTAAATGTGTGTGTTCTTGTGTTCAGATGTCAGTTTCCTCACTCTGGATCCAAACACAGCACACACTCAACTCATTCTGTCTGAGGAGAAAAGAGAGGTGAAGAGTGTGAGAGAGAATCAGCCGTATCCTGATCATCCACACAGATTTGATTATTATCATCAGATGTTGTGCAGAGAGAGTGTGTGTGGACGCTGTTACTGGGAGATTGACTGGAGTGGAGATGCTGGTGTGTTTATATCAGTGTCATATAAGAGCATCAGGAGGAAGGGAAGAGGTGATGAGTCTTGGTTTGGATATAATGATCAGTCCTGGAGTTTGATCTGCTCTTCCTCCAGTTTCTCATTCAGACACAATAACACACACACTGATCTCCCAGTGAAGGCGCTCAGCAGGAGAATAGGAGTGTTTGTGGATCACAGTGCAGGAACTCTGATCTTCTACAACATCTATAGAGACACAATGAGCCTCATCCACTCAGTCCAGACCACATTCACTGAGCCACTCTGCCCTGGGTTTACTGTTTATCCTGGATCATCAGTGAAACTGAGCTGAAGACTGACGAGAGATTTACCCAGAATCCTCTGCAGGAGCAGTCAGCAGCAGTATGTGTGTGTGTGTGTGAGAGAGAGACAGACTGTGTTTGTGTGTGTGAGTGTGTCTGTTTGAGACACAGAGAGAGAGAGAGAGAGTGTGTGTTTGATTGTCTGTGAGTATCTGTGTGTGTGTGTGTGTGTGTATGTGTATGTCCGTGTGTGTGCTTGATTGTGCATGTGTGTATGTGCATGTGTGCGTGAGAGAGTGTGTAGCTGTGTGTGTGTGAGAGAGAGAGTGTGTGTGTGTGTGTGTGTGTGTGTGTGTGAAAGTGTGTAGCTGCGTGTGAGTGTGTGTTTGTGTGTGAGAGAGAGTGTGAGTGTGTGTGTTAGAAGAGAGAGAGCTTATGTTAGATTGTGTGTATGTGAGAGCGAGTGTGTGTGTGTATGTGTGTGCATGTGAGAGTGTGTTGTGTGTGTGCATGTGAGTGTGTTGTGTGTGTGTGCATGTGAGTGTGTTGTGTGTGTGCATGTGAGAGTGTGTTGTGTGTGTGTGTGCATGAGAGAGAGTGTGTGTGTGTGTGTGTGCGTGCATGTTAGAGTGCGTGTTGTGTGTGTGAGAGTGTGTGTGTGTGTGTGAGAGAGTGTGTGCGCATGTGTGTGTCTGCGTGTGTGTGCATGTCTGTGTGAGAGTGTCTTGTGTTTGTGTGTGCGACGAAGAGTGTGTGTGTGTGAGATTGTGTGTGCACGTGTGTCTGTGTTGTGTGCGTCTCACTTTCTTTTGTTTGTGTCTGTGTGTGTGTGTGCGTATGTGTGTGTCTCTGTGTGCGCGTGTTTGTGTGTGCATATGTGTGTGTCACTCTCTCACTCTCTCTGTGCGTGTGTCTTTTTCTGTGTGTGTGTGTGTGAGAGAAAGAGAATTGCTTTAAAACTGTAAATCTCTTGATCTTGTTCATCATCTGTTCTGGTTCTTCTTGTGGTGAGTAGAGCAAGTTTTGCTTGAGCAGCTGAACAGTGAATGAGCTGCCATTTCAGTCTGTGTCTCTGACTATCGCCAGCTCCAGAAGAAACTTACACTGAGTCCAATTCTGTCCACATTTCAGGAAAACTCTGCTCCACATATCAAACTATTGTGTTCAGCGTCTACACTCCAGATAGCCGTGATGATCCACAGTCTCTCCATGTGCACAGAAGAGACACTCGTCATGGACACTAGAGTGAACAACACATATGAAGCGTTCACTGCCACAATCCCCTGCAGAATCCTCCGTTGTAAATCCCCAACACGTTTGGTCAATGGTGCTTTACACAAAACTCTCCACAGCGCTCTCCCCCTACAGCATCATCACATATCCATTCCTTCTGTTCATCCGCCTTCGTCTTCTTTCTGATCCCGAATAATCCTCAGGATATCAGATGTGTGTTTGGACATGATGTGCTCTCTTCAACAAGCAGCTGTTGTCTTCATTCTGCAGGCTGTTCGCTCTGGCAGTGGCTCAGATATGTGTGCGCTGGCCTATAATAAACAGCAGAGTTCTTCTGCAGTCGGGTGATGTACTCCATCAGGCACAGTCATCTCAATAGTATCCTGTAGTGTGCTTTGCCCAATGTGTTCAGATCTTTTAGTGTGCGCACGTTTAAGAGTTGAGAGAATATAAGGCTCATTCCTGGCGTTGGCTAATAGTTCAGCTTGAGCAAACTCATATTTAAAAGTGTGTTGATGATATTGTTAAATAGCCTACATAATGAGGCACAATTGAAGCGTTCACAACATCATCTTTTCCCACCTCAGCCATTAAAGCTTTATATTATTTTCTCTTTTATTCTTATTTGAACAGCCGTTATTCTCAACCCCGTAACGGACTAAACTGAGTTTAATAATAGCATTTCACAAAGCTTTTGCTGTAAAACCAACATTTCCCTGTTGCTCATGTGTGCCTCAAACCAGTTTAATGGCTAAAACATCACATTTCTGAGGAGTTTTAGATTCAGATGTGATTTAATTATACAACTTATGCATCTGTGCTCTCTTCATTTCTCTAAAAAAAGCTTTAATTTTAGATGTCTTACCCAAACCACATGTTCACAATGTCAGGCTTAACATGGCGGCTGGTCCTCAGCTAGAAGTTTTTCTATATTTAATTGTTTCCCTTTAACAATATGAACTTCACAGGGTGGAGAATACAGTGACGGGGTGAAGACCGTAACAGGGTTGAGGAGACACTTTCATTTCAATGTTAATTTGCTTTAATTAATGTGAAATTAAATCTAAGACTAAACTAAAACACTTCTTTACTTCAGTAAAATATTTAGGCATTGATCACACTGAGATGACATTAAACTTCATTAAACCAAACTACAGTCAGAATTCAGAACAGTGAAGTGCTGCAGGTAACTGGAGCGTTAGTAACCTTTACCAATGCTGATCAAGGCCTGTGTTCCCAAATATACTGCTGAACAGAACCTGCAGTGAACAGCAGCAACAGCTACATCATGACTAAACCTTTATTTCCTGGAACATCAAGAAAAACTGCAGCAGAAAACAGTCTTCTTAATAAAAACGCTTAATAATAATAATAACATTATACAGCCAGACGGGCTGCTCTGTGCTCTGAGTATTTCAGAAACTGCTGATCGACTGGGATTTTCACGCACAACCATCTCTAGGGGAGGAAATATCCAGTGAGCGGCAGTTCTGTGGGTGCAGATGCCTTGTTGATGCGGTCAGAGGAGAATGGCCAGACTGGTTCCAGCTGATAGAAAGGCAACAGTAACTCAAATAAGCACTCGCTACAACCGAGGTCTGCAGAAGAGCATCTCTGTACACACAACACGTCAACCTTGAGGCAGATGGGCTACAGCAGCAGAAGACCACCAGATATTCCTAAACCTTTTGACAGCTGAAGCCTCTTTATCTTTAATATTAATATGAATTCTTCCCTTAATGACCCCCTCTCTAAAGTTGGCTAATTGTAACATGACATAGAGATGAACAAATGAACTGTTTACATAACTAAAGTCTTTTTTTACTGCACATGTTCTGATTTGATCAGCTTTAACTCATGATGAACTCGTGACACATTCAATATAAAATCTGCTGCTGATAAGGGCGCTGTCGTAAATTCGACGTCTTATCAATTAGAAATTATCAGACCGGAGGTTTTGAATATCAGAAAATAGACTTTATTCTCCATAATAAAGCCGAGAAAGAGCAGAGCAGACCCCAGAGCATTCTGAAGTCTCTCCTGGACACCTTCTAAAGTCTCTCCTGCTCCTTCTCCTTTATTTATGTTTTTGACACACCCCTTTGTATCTCTTTTTAACTTTTGACCATTTTTGAATTGGTTTTCTAGTCTAAGGGGTCCTGCTATTCTTGGCTCTCAGCCCACTAGCTCATGTCAACAGAGATGTTACAGGTCTGTGTCAGCAACTGTTTTGACACCAAAGTTCTCTCTCCATAGATGCAACTTATGCAAAGGGATTAAGTGTTTACATACATTGTCATGAAAGCATAATCACTTGATAATATGTTACTCATTCTAACTTCTGACACATATAGGTTTATACAAGTATTTAACATATATAATCAGTGCTTTACATATTCAGTTATTCTACACATCAGTCACTCAGCCTTCTAGTGTTGCTCCTGTGCAGGCATACTCATCTTACACAGACATATCACTGTATTTTTACCACAGGCTGGCATGTTTGCTGCAAACACTTCATACATTTTGAGAAAAGAAAATTAACTGCTTTACACTTAGAAAACACTTCATACAGAGAGAATAAAATCTTCTTCAGCGCCATGTCTGAGATAAGATTGTGTCACAGTTTCAGTGGAAACACTGCTTCAAATATTCTCTCAGTGACTAAATAAAGTTATAGTCAGTATATATTTACTGAAATGTTCTTGATAAATTAGGAGACAATCTCAATCCTGTTACAAGATTACAACCCTGAAACAATGAGATGAGTGACGGGGTCGAGTGTGACGGGGTTGTGTCACTAAAACAAAATGGCCGCTGCTCTTCGTGTGGTTTAAGAGAGAAGGTCCACATGGCAGCAGTTAAACTAGAATATGTCATATTGTTTGGACATTAAGAAAACAGTCATACTCCATCTTAGTTTTACGTTACAGGGTTGAATTGTTAAGCTTGACCGTACCCTTCCTAACCATAATAAACCTCAAAGAAATTAAATGAATGAAAATATATCTTTCCTTCTTTTCCACCGTGCTGTTAAAGAGAGCTGAATGATGTCACTTCCTGTCTGTGATGTAACAATACATATAAATTGCTATAGGTGGAACAATGCTAGCGTAATAGGGTTGAGTTATATTGAGGGACAAACCTTTGTAGCCTGTTTTTCATTTAAAATAAATCTTATTTTTAATTGTATTTTTATTTATCACAAGAAAATAACTTGAATAAATAGTTGTAATACTGAAAAAATAATGTAGACACTGTGTGTATTTGATTAATTTGTTTCTCCATGCAATTTCAGAGAAGTGCCTCGGGGACATGACAGATAGCTTTGGTTTGTGACAGAAATGTTGAAAGTTCTCCCAGTTCTTCTTCTTTCTCACCACACATTTATGCATGTGTAAATAATGCTCCACACTTCCACAATCATTCCTCTGACTGTTAAAGCACATGTGAATCTCTTATAATCTCATCCACTTACTGCTTCAAGAAATCCAAGAGGCGAGGACTGGGACAAATGCAGTGTTTAGTTTACATCCACTAACATGGCCAGCAGGCCTCACTGATCTGGGCTACATCACTGTGTAAATGTTTTCTGCGTTGTGTTGAATTTATTTGAACCCTTTCAGAAACACATGGAGTCAGATGTGCTTCAGGCATTAGTGATGAGCCAGTCTAGTTCAAACACAATGACTCTGTGCTAGAAGACTGAGTACCTGTCTTACTTCTGTCCTCACAGATAAAACTGAACAGAATGCCACAAACTTAAAGCAGGACTTCCAGGACTGAGAGAAATAAACAACTATTAACTGAAGTGAAAGCACAAGCAGCCGGCATTTCTGTTGACATACAGTACATGAAGGGCTCTGTCCGTGAGAGCAATAGCCTTGACCCCCCAGTTCTGTGTTCTGCTCAGTTGGCTTCAGCTCTTCTGTGACTTTTCTTGACGACTCAGCATCATTCTACACTTTTTATACAAGCGAGCTTCCCCTGAAAGTAGATTTTATTACATTTTATTTAAGGCCTTGGTGCTTTCTGTCCAGCCAATATGTGTCCAGATGCAGTTTAATGTGCATGTCGATTGAACTCCTTCAGCATGAACCCATCAAAATAAGCGGAGTCAGCAGTGTGCTCTTCCTTCTGAAACATTACTCCATGCTCTTTCAGTTTAATGTGTTTATAATCTATTTATTTCATGAAAATGTTATTTATGAAAGTGTTTTTACCTTTTCTGTTAGATTAATACGATGAGCTTTAAACACTGACAGTTCTGAGATTTATAATGGCAACAAACTGCAACCAGCAGTTCTGGTTCAGGGTTTAGTGGCGGCTTTCTGAAGTGGAGCGAGGAAAATGTCCAGAACACATCAGCTGACGCCCGATCTCCATTCAGTTTAGAAACTCAAGAAATTAACAGTCGCCTCAGAGATCTAATGAAGCTGGAATATATTTATTATTCATTCATTCATTTTCTTTTTGGCTTAGTCTCTTTATTAATCAGGGGTCACCACAGCGGAATGAACCGCCAACTTATCCAGCACATGTTTCATGCAGCGGATGCCCTTCCACATGCAACCCATCTCTGGGAAACATCCAAACACACTCATACACTACTGACAATTTAGCCTATCCAATTCACCTGTACCTGTAATCTTTGCACTGTGGGGGAAACCGGAGCACCTGAAGGAAACCCATGCAAACGCAGGGAGAACACACAGAAACGCCAACTGACCCAGCCAAGGCTCGATCCAGCGAGCTTCTTGCTGTGAGGCGACAGCACTTCCTACTGTGCCACTGCGTCACCTTATCTGAAATCTTATATGCATAAATGTAAATATATTAAATGTGACCTTCTGTACTTTTATTTTGGCATCTCAGCGCTCACCCTGGGGCTGATGTGTTCAGACTCAGCATCAGTTGAACATCTTTAATCAGCCGCAGGTCATCTAGAGGAGCTTTAACACATGAGCTGTTCACACTTCTGTATGGTCTATATCAGAAAGAGGGATGATTGAGTTCTGCTGGAGACCTGCACATAGAGGAACACATGGACATCAGACTGCTGATCAATCTGCACAGGAGATAATGAAGAGAAGGAAGACAGATGATGGAGGAAAAGCTGAAATAAATCTATTATCAAGGGAAATATTGACAGAATGATGAGGAGTTTAGGATGAAGATAAGAGATGACATTTATATAACATTAAAATATTAGTGGAGACAAATAAACGTGTGTGTGAAACAGAGAGGAGGAAGTGATGTGAACTAGACTGAGGTGAGGACACACTCCACTAAACTCAACACTGACATTAATGGAGTTCAGGAACATGATCAATGTGGAAACTGTAGAGTTCTAGAGAACATGTTAGATTTGATGGAGGACATATGCAAGAGAAAAGTAAAGTGGCTGCAATGCAGTACTGGGAAACACCCAAACAGTCTCAGATTTACACAGATCAGGGTAAATTAAGTGAAGCTGAAGTCAAAACTATAATAAAGATACAGACAGAGAGTATAAGGCAGGAACACTGGGATATGAATGACTCAGGAAGACATCTGTATACAATCCAATCTGTGAAGGAAGAGAAATGGGGAATAATCGGAGTGAGGAAATGATCATAACTGCCTCAGAACAGCACATACAGGACTAAACAAGACACTGAGTTTATAGTGAAGCACACACATGATTTATACTCACATTGTAATCAGTATGAAACATGTGCAGCATGTAATAACAGAATGTCAAGATCATCAATACAAAAGACAAATATAAAGAGAAGTATTTATTAGATATAATCTTACATTTACTCTGGAAAATATAGTAGAGTCAACATATGGAAGCTACAACAATTCATGTCTGAAATAATCTGGTCTGTTAGAAAGAATTTACAATTTTAATCGGATTTCTTTGTTTAATCAGCGATTTATTTCCCTTGAATTTATGGTGAGATTTTCCCCGTGTCTCTCCATGTTAGAATCAGCCAGTCCAGCAGGAGGCGGTAAAGCACATTATAGTTTGACAACCGCCAAAATACTGAAGAAGAAGAAGTTGACAAACCGAAAGCGCCAAAGAGCTCACACGTGTTCCTGCTGCACAAGAGCGTCTGTACTTCTGCATGTGAGTTTAACACTTCTACATTAGGCTGATCTGTGGAGATGATCAAGGGTTTATATGTGTATTAGTGTGTTTAAAATCGTGATTTGTAGGACTGTCTGCTCCTGAAGTTTAAAGACTTAAACGCCGATTAAACACAGTCCAAACAAGGTCATTTCAACAATATAATGGGTTATATATTTTATCTCTTGAAAGTGGTTGTGCACTTCTATATCAGGTTGACTCGATAATTTCACATTATTCAGCACAAAATAAACTTTAAACAGAGTCAGGAAATCAAAAGTGAAAGAGCTTCCGATTAACTGTCCCCATCATTTCTTCCTCAAGCAAATGTGTAAATAGATCTGTTCAGCAATATTGTTAATTGCATTGGCATATTTATCTGATGTTTTCCCAGCATGCAGTAGTTGATCAAAAATCTATTTAGTTGATTATGACTGTATGTACACTAGCAGTGGAATTTACTGCGATGTGAAGGGGGGCCACCTGAAATCTTGCCTAGGGCGCCAAATTGGTTGGGGCCGGGCCTGCTGGTAAAGTTTCAATACTAACTAACTATTAAATAAGCAAATAAATAAATCAAAGTTAATAGCTGTCTAAAGCAGAAGTTATCTTGACAGACAAACTGCAGTAATGTTAATCATTTTATTGATATATGCTGTGAATGCAGTGAGATGACTGAGACTCAGTTTGTGGTCTCCCTCGTCATGTGGTCTGTTTCAGGAAGGTCTTGTTTGTGTTGTCCCTCATCATGTGGTCTGTTTCAGTAAGGTCTTGTTTGTGTTCTCCCTCATCATGTGGTCTGTTTGAGTGCAGTGTTGTTAGTGAAGTGAGCATTGATTGCTATAAAGTGTGCTGTTCTTCATCTCAGTATATTGTCATCTCCAGGTGATGGTGAGCGGCTGATTGTTTCCTGAAAGCTCTGCTAGTGTCTGCATTGGTGTTTTAGCTGCAGTATGGCAGAGGAGCGAGTAAAGGACTCTCTCTCAGAGAAACACAGGTATTGACTCTGTTTTTACACCATTATTTCAACACTTTCTCTGAAGAACAAAGACCAACAACAATGCACTTATTTGTGTTGCTATTGCCTGATCAAATGATGGACAAAGCTTCAGTTTACAGCTTCAGCAAATGTGTTTAGATCATTCTAGAGTACAGACAGCTTTACCAGAGCTCAATGTGTGTCATGCGCAGGGCCAGACGGAATCTGCGGGCGTTTTTTGCTATTTCTGTGGAGAATTTTGGTAAAAAATCTGTGGATTTCTGCGGAATGATTTTTGGAGTATCATGACTAAAACGTTAATATGTGAAATAAAAAATAATACCTTTCAAACTTTTATTTAATGTTTAAAATGCAAATCCAATAAGATTCACTTTATTTGGTAAACAAAGCAAGTGTCTCATATAATATCTCTACCAAAAGACTATAAATATGACTGTTCAAACTGCATTGTGCATAAATCTGATGAAAATGTTCATATTAGTCAATAATATTACTTTAATTAATAAAAAAAACTGAATAATACAGTTTTACACACATTTATTCAAGTAAATAAACATAATTAATGATAGGCTAAAAATCTGCGGAATTCTGCGTGCACAGATTTCGTGTGGGCCTAGTCATGTGTCTGTTTACCCATGATATCTGTGTAGCAGACCTGATCAGACAGACTTTCAGCCAACAATTAGTTTGTGCTGAATTACACTACACAAACTCATTCAACTCTTAAAGTTTGTCCTGCAGTTTATTCCTCTGGTGTGTTTGTGTGTTCAGTGTGAGATCAGGATCATGTGTGTCCAGCTCTGTGTCTCTGAAGAGTGACCAGTCTAAAGAACATCCTCTACCAAACTTCAGAGAGAAAACACCATCATCTGCACAAGGGTATGAATGATTCTTTTAATCGCGTGTCAGTCAATCTTCTAAAATCAATTTTTTTTTAACAATAAATAAAGTACCACAAATTCATAAAACTATTATTATCACCCCTTAGACCAGGGATGGGCAAACTTGATCGTCGAGGGCCGGTGTCCCTGCAGAGTTTTGTTCCAACACTAGTCAAACACACCTGAACAAACTAATCAGTGTCTTCAAGATCACTTGAACTCTATAGGGAGGTCTGTTTAAATAGAGTTGGAGCTAAACTATGCAGGACACTGGCCCTCCAGGATCAAGTTTGCCCACACCTGCCTTAGACAGTTTGTAAGGTAATTAATATTTAATTTTTTTGTGTTAATGCATTAGCCTAATGAAACTGATCTTACACCAAAACCCCCGTTAACCAGGTTTCCAACTATTTATAGACCTATTTAAGACCTTTTTAATGTAGACTAATATTAATATAATGACAAATGGCACCAAAACTTCAATTGTTGCTTTATTAAACTATAAAGAAAAATAAAATAAAATACAAGCTAACTTTGTTGTTATTTTTAGACATCCAAAACGTGAACATTAATTTCTAGTTCATAAGAAATAACCTTCTTGCAATACACAAGTGGCTCAGGTAGTGCAGCTCATCCTGGATGACACTTCAATGTGAACTGTGGCAAGAATCATATCGATCCTACCATCAGTAACGTTCTGCTGCCTGCAACATCCTCCAGCATAACTGGTGTGATGTGGGGTGGCATTTCTGATGCAGATGCAGTGTTCGCCAGAGATAGTCTGACTACCATTAGGTACCGAGATGAGATCCACAGACCCCTTGTAAGACCATATACCTGTGCCGTTGGGCTCTTCCTAAAGCAAGACAACGCTAGACTTCATGGGGCTGGAGTGCTATCTGTTCTTGCAAGACTAAAGCGTTGATTCTAGTGCAAATACAAGCATTTAAGGGTCTTCAGTTGTGTATTTTTCTTTTGTTAATACTCTTGC